AGAGCACACGTCAAAACACCCGGCCACTGTCTGTTCACCTGCAAAGAACATGACAAAACACAGCAACAAAATACATATGTATAAAGAACTTAAAATATTCATGGCTTTGCAGTAAGTTTCCATAAATATATATACCCATACCTACGCCTATATACATACATACATACATACATACACATGAATATACACTCACATACATATCTATATATCTACATATAAAGCCTACATAAGCATCCCTGCTTCTATTTGTGTGTGGTTGTGAGCATGCATAAGTGTATAAGGCTTCTCTAATAGAACAAATATATAGATATATATAGATATTTTTATATTTTTAAATTACATTTTACCCAGTTACAGTCAACTTTTATTGATTTTATTTGCAAGTAATTTTTGAATTACTACTAGAGACACTAGCCAGATAGCTAGTCTTTTTATTTATGTATTTATTTTTATGATGCATTCACACAAATTAGACAAAGTTTAAAGGAGATAAATCCATGAAAGGTCAAAACGGCTCAAATTTATCAGCAATTGCAAAACTTGACAAGATAAATAAAAACCGGACCCCCAGAACTGCCACAATGAAACATAATCAATGAAGCACTAACTGAAATAAACATCAGTGACATTAGCTTATTAAAAAATCATAAAAAACAGAATTACCTTCAAACTAAACAACAAGAGTTCTGTATTTATCAGATGTTACGTCATGTTTTTCTCTGTCTTCTCGTCATGCCAGTCAGGACGCTGTGAGTTAATAATGTTAGCACGTAGCGGTATGAAAAATAAAACTTAAAGATAAATGAATCACATAAAGCAACGTGCACTAAGTCAATAAAAGGAAGTAAAAACACAAATAAAGTCACAGTTTTGTGACCCGCTGAGTTTGACTTGGGACCTGTTTTTCTGGGTCTTGTTGTTTCTTTTCATGCAACAGAACCAAGCGTCACTTTCTGTGACGTCTGTTGCAGCATCTTTGTGATAATTTCAACTTTTCAACTGGTCCGGCCGTCGAAACACTCGCTGGCGTTTGAGCGGCGTAAAGGTGTTGCAACTTGTCTTTGGGTGCACGTCTGATGGAGCCTTTTCACAAACTGATTAATGATGATGCTGCAATAGTGCACACCTGCATTCCCATGAAGCAGGTGTGTTTGGATGTGACCAGGTAGGAGGAGGGAACTAAGGTGAGACCACCTCCTTGACTTGAAGGCAACACCTTGTTGGTGCCTCAGAAACATAGAACAGGTCCAGAAGTGGACACACACTGTTATTCTGCTGCCTGGGAGGGTAGGATGCATTTTGTCACTCCAAAACTACGCCTTTAGAATCCAACCGTTACATTCTGGACTCTTTATCTCATGGACATGTTTGGTCCAGGGCAAATGATTTCCACTCTCTTTCCGGCAGTTTTTCATTCACCTGCTCACTTCTTCCCTGCGTTCCCAACCAGACTGGGCTCACCGCCTCCAATCCTCATCCCAGGGCCGTTTTTCAGCTACGAATCTCTGAGGAGTTACCTTCAGCCAGAGCCGTGCAAGGAAGCTTTGCTGCTGGCCACACAGGCGGCTGGGACTGGGCCCCTAACAGAAAGCAAAGGTGAGTTCACACTCTGCCAGTGAATATTGGCTGATAATCCTGGGACTGTTCCGACTTCAGCCAAACAGGCACTTACAGCTTTAACGTCTCTCGGCATCAGAGTAGATGTTTACAGAAGACTGACGAACAGCTTGTAACTAACAATCAATTTTCACTCCGTGTGAAAATGTGTCTAAGCATCGCGGCGCTAATTATCCAGTTTAGAGCCATTAGTTTCCTGTCACCCAGTGGCGATGGTTTAATTGGTGCTGCACTTTCCAGATGAACAGAGGCCAGTGAAGCAGCGGCGGGCACGAGCCAACTACAGCAGCTGGCAGCTGGAGGAGCTGGAGAAGGCGTTCCACAGCACCCACTACCCAGACGTCTTCATGAGGGAGGCCCTGGCCCTCAGGCTGGATCTGATCGAGGCCAGAGTTCAGGTGGGGGGGGGGGGACGGGGTTCCTGCTGGACCTGTTGTCTTCACTTCACTAGTGTTCACTTTTTACAGTGAAAATCAAACTGTTCATCTCAAACGTCTGTTTTCATGCCAACAAACACAAGATGAGTAAAATTATCCTCTGGCTTCTCAAACGTTTGGGGTTCAGGGACCCCTTACAGGGGAGAAAAGGTTTCAGGGACCCCCTCATAACCCTAAGGTTTATTAAATTGTTTTCTTCAGCTTGTATCAGTATATATATATATATATATATATATATATATATATATATATATATGGCATCCTCTGTGGCTGCTTTTAAATCCTCACGTAAAATTCCTTTTTATTTATTTATTCATTTTTTTGGGGAGGGGTGGCGCAGAGGTTAGAGAAGGTGAGCCTGTGATCGGAAGATCGCCGGTTCAAGCCCCGGTACTGACAACATCAAAAATGTGGGTGGGGTAGGTGAAGCACCCACACCTGCCCCCACCCTCATTTGTCCCACTCTGGTCCCATGAGCAAGGCACTCAACCACCATCTTCTTCTCCCTGAACAGGTCTCTCTTGAAAATGAGTTCTCGTGGCTCAATGAGACTACCTGGATAAATAAAGGCTAAATTTAAAAAAAAAATCTATTTTAGCTCTCACTGCCTGTTAACTTGTGATTTTTATGGTTTTATAATTTTTCTTTTTATCTTTATTTCTAGTGTTCTTTAATTAATTGTACATTCATTTGATTGTAGTGTGTTGTGTTGTACAACACTTTGTTGCATTGAAAGGTTTTAAATGGATTTATAAAGTTTACTTACGTTGATATTCTTAAAATAAAAGACCGTATTTTATGCATGAGAGAAAAAAAAAATCTATTTAGACAATGTTGTTTATTATCTTGAATGTTTTTGTTACAATTTATCATAAACTTTTAGAAAATTCAACTTAAAAAGAAATTAAACTTTTTTAGATTTTTCTACCTGGATTATTGAGCATGCATCAGGATGTTAAAAAGAAACATTTTAGTTTTAACTTTACTTCACTTTAACAAGTCGTGCCAATTAGTTTATGTATTTAAATTTAATTATTTTTAGTGTAAATATCAGAATATTTTCCATCATCTTTAATGAACTTCCATCTGCTCTTATTTTGAAATCCTGCAGTATTCATGTTCTTTATTTTTTATATATTTTCTTACCAGGGCTGTAATACTACTTCATTCTTAACTTTTAAGAACAGTAAATTTGAACAAATATTAAAACATTTACATTTTAAATTCTTGTATGAAACTGTTTTATTTAAACAACTTTATTATACGGTGTATTTTTCTACTTGGTGAATTCCGTTATTCGGATATTTTCTCTTCAGTTTTGTACTTTGTCTTAACTTTTTCACCAGAAGTACCTTGTCAGTATTTCAGAGTCTTCCCCTTTATAATCTAATTCATCTGGATTATTTCCATTTGCTTGAAGGTTTGGTTTCAGAACCGTCGAGCCAAGATGAGGCGGCAGCTGAAGCTTCAAGGCCAGCTCGCACGGCCTCACGTGACACGAGACCACAGGGACATTTCTGAGAGCAGGAGCAAACAGACAGGAGGTTGTGACGGCGAGGCCTGGGGGGGGCAACAGGAAGGAGACGACTACCCATGGACAAAAGCTCCAGCTCCTCCGCTGAGCGTGCAGAAGCAGCCCGTGGTCCTGACGTTGGGGAAGTGGGAGAGGCCCGAGGGGTCAGAGGGCTTGAGCTCGGAGCAGCTTCGCTCCTGCAGCATCGCCAAGCTGCGGGCCAAAGCCAGAGCGCACGAGGCGGAGCTCCACAGCACTGTGCACGTGACGGGCGGACACGTGGAGCCACAAACACTGTGCACTCACTCATCGCCTGCTTCCTGTTTGTACTAAAATAAAGTTCCTCATAGTCTGCAGGTACAGTTGAAACTCATGGGATGAGTTTTATGTCTTCATTTACTGGATTCTGTGTTTATACATTTTATATTTGTTTTTCCCACTTATTCAAAAGTATTATGTGTAGCCATAAAAAAGTTTTTTATTTTTTACATTTTTTACCATATGCACAATTTATATATCCAACAAAGTTCAGTCGGGTCCTCTGGACAGTTTCTTTTTTTGTTGAGACGTTTCGTCCTTCATCCAAAGGACTTCATCAGTCCGACGAGCCACAACAAAAGTGGCTTACTCACATAGTGGACCAACCAGTTTGCTGGTGATAAGATGGTTTCTGGAGTCCGCCCTCTCCCCCGTCGACTCCTCTGAGGCAGCCATAGCCCAAGTGGTTCAAAACATCAAAGTCCATGCTCAATAATCCATGTAAAGAAAATCCAAAAGGTCAAGTCACGTTCTCTGGGCGGTTTCTTTTTTTGTTGAGACCTTTCGTCCTTCATCCAAATGATTGGATACTGGATCATTATCATCGGATTATTGAGCATGAACTTTGATGTTTTCAACCACTTTGCCTCAGAGAAGTTGACGGGGGAGAGGGCGGACTCCAGAAACCATCTTATCACCAGCAAACTGGTTGCCCACTATGTGGGTGTGCTGTTGTGGCTCCTTGGACTGATGAAGTCCTTTGGATCAAGGACGAAATGTTTCAACAAAAAAAAGAACCGTCCAGAGGACCTGACTGAACTTTGTTGGATTTTTTTATCTGGATTATTGAGCATGAACTTTGACACAATTTATGTACATTTCTAAAACTTCACATAACAATTTCACTGATTTTTTTTAAATTTAAACTGAATTTTTAAAGTTGACTACACTGAAGAAAAATATTTTGAAAGGGGGGTTGAATATTATTCATTTAAATTATTGAAAATCTTCTGAAATAGATTTAATAGCATTGCTTAATGCTAAGCTTTTTTTTTCCTTTTTATATATTTTTGTTTACCAACAGCTACAAAATGAAAAAACCTGACAGTGTTGGATAATTCTAAATATATTTCCCTCTGCAAACTCAAATAGTCAAGTCAGATTTATTCATCGAGCACATTTAAAACAGAAACTGTTACCAAAGTGCTTAACAAAAATATCACATCATCAGATAAAAAGTAGCAAGATATATTTACAGCACATGGAATAAAAATATAAAACCAAAAACAATTAGAAACCATGAAATACTAAATCAGATCACGTTGTGTCAAAGGTCAAGGAATAATAACAAAAAGCATAAACTCAGTCAGAAACAATGAAATACTAAACGTCTGCACAGGAAACAGCTGAAAAATGAAATCATCAACACTGACTCTAGATTTTATGAAGACTTGAAAAAAGCAGCAAACACAAAAAGAGAAAATCCACAGAAAACGTGACTAAAGAATTAATTCATTATTAAATCAAAGGCCTTGCCGTCCTTGAAGGAATGCATATCGCCCGCTACCTTTCATGTCACAGTTGATGTGCTCAAACCTTGAACGTAACATTATACATAATTTCATGAGTATATATGGAGATGACTCTCAGCTACTACCAGGCTCAACATTCATAAAAGTGACTGAGTTGGAGCCATTTCTGTGTCTTTAAGGTCAGTGGCAGCCATCTTGAATTGTGTTAATCACTTGTAGATTTTCATCCAGGGACTTTTTTTACTTTTTAAAATCTGAACAGGCAGACACACGAACATATTTTCATCTTCTCGATCGCAGCTGATTCTCATCATCGGTTACAATAAATGACCAGCAGCTGTTTTCCTGCAGCTTTGGGAACTACTTTTGTCTTTGTTGTGTTTAACATAAACTCACACATCCCAGTTATCCTCAAGCACCACACATGTAATCTGAGTACATTAGTAACTGTTGTGGATACTTTGGTTGTTCTCTTCCTGTAAATAAGTCCCCCCCCCCCCCAGAGCCAATGAGCCAGCAGAGCAGTGTGACACTGCCCCCTTCTGGGTGTGAGGACGCCCCCCAGGACTGAAGCAATGAAACGGTTTCATGTGCAGAATCTGCATTTTCTGAACAAGCGTATTAAAATGGTACACGTCCAACACTTTTAGACGCTCAAAGGTTCTGCTTCCATCGTGTGAGCTCCAATAATCAATAATTGACCGAAGCTGCGGCCTGGTCACATGAACCGGCTGCGTGTGGGTTACTCACGCTCAAACACTCACTGTCAGCTCGGGCCTCTCACTAATTACACTCTCCGTGTCACACACGTGAACTCCAGCTGATGACGTCACTATAGGCTCACTTTTATATGGGACACTTTCCAAAACAAGACGCACGACGAGTTCTTTTGTTTCCTGAAGGACTTATCCTTCATTTTTTAAATATTCAAGTGTTCATGTTACTGGAAAATAAAGTTTGTGCTGAAACATTATGGCTGGTCTCAGTTAGGCCTTAACTTAGCAAAAGAACATGGATTAGAAACAAGGCATCTCTTTCATACTTGTTCTCATTTATAGATGGCAAATTTTGTTTTATAGATTAAAAAAAATCCTGCAAAATATGTCTTAAAGAGTATCTTCTCGGGGAGTTAAACAATATGTTTATTTCTATAAAATATATGTCATATTAGGCCAGCAACATGCAGTGGCTTAGTAATAAACTGTTGTAAATCATCAACATTAAAATTCAATTAAATGTTTTTACAACAGCTTGATGTCCATCCTGGTGCATTCAGGGACGCCTAGAGAAAGTTTTAAACAGGTGGCCAGAAGATGTCCATCCTG